ACCGATGTCCCTTGCAACCAGACAGATGCACGACTCATGGAATACTAGATCTATATAATTATCACATCTAATAGTAAGACCATTTTCACTATTTTAATAAACCTATTTCTTTTTTTTTAATCTACATGTATATAACACATTGCCTTTTGAACATACATGTAAATTTTTGAAATAAATAAATATCATTGCAATAAATTGTATTTTAATGGTTGTAATGTTTTCTTCTAACTTAGCAAATAATTAATTTGAATTTGAAAGTAGAATTGTATCAGCTATATTAACGCAACTTAACAAAAATTAAAGGAGGAAAACCATAGAGATTAATCTTCAGGAGCAAATCTGATATGTAAAAACTATTCATTTCTATTTTTTTTTCTTTAAAAATGGAATAGAAAAAAAAATGGCTCAGACTTGATATCCACATGTATTGAAAAGAATTTACACTACATTAACGCTCCGGCATTCTCCTAAAAAAATTACTTGAGGACTCACAAAAGCGGCATGTCAGGTTTATGGGCATTCTGACAACTTTTCTTAGGATTCAAAAGACCGACATTGCTGGTTTCGTGGGCTGTCTATATAATCCAAGCTAAATCACAAGCAGGATTCTAAAAGTTATCTTTCTTTTATTATGTTGAAATGTGATTAAGTTGCCTATTAATAAAATATGTTTTGTGCTTAAAAGTACTAGCCGTGTTCATTATTAATTTGATTTGTGAATTTCTGTCGGCGTAATATTATGAAAAATTGAGAACATGTGTTATTATATTTCGTGGGCCGATTTGACAACCAGAGGATCTCCTGTTTTGCTTTTATTTCCTTTTCTTGTTATTTCTTTCTATACAAAAAATAAATTAAGATTGGCAAACTGGCGAACACTTTTACATGGGTATTTGGTAAATGAGCTTAAGGACACGTGGTGTCAAAATATAAAGAAACTTAAAGCGAGAGAAGGGCACATGTTTAAGATCAGAAAGGAAAACGAAACATATTCATAGCGGCGGATCTTTAGAAGTTCAAGGGTTGGAGAGAGAGAGAGAGAGAGAGAGAGAGAGAAGTGGGTTATTAGTGAAACTTTTCAATAAGGCCTAATACAAAATTTATCTATAAAAACAAATTGTATGATATAACTTGGAGAGAATATAATGAAAGACTAGAAATTGAGGTTTTAATATAACTGCATTCGCCTAACAACCATACTATTACAGCGGAGAAACGCTGGTGATATACATTTCATGAGAAGGCGTTCATTACGGCGGGAAAATGCAAGAGGTTGTCTTCATGTACCAAAAGCCCTTGGAAAATTGCTTATGGACCTAAAATCAGAGTGTATGTAGTCCCTATGCCTGGTTTGTTTCGTATGCAAGTGAACAGTAAAAACAATCGTAACCTCAGGGAAGAGCACCTCATTTTCATTTGTCGTCCATGCATAAGTTCAAGCGAATGCGTAGCAAGAATCCAGTCATTCAGGAGGGGGAGGGGGAGTGTTGGGATAATGGAAATGGGAAAAAAGGAGTGTGAAAAGCGAGAGAACAAGGCCATAATGAGAAGTGGACGAATCTAATTATTTTAATGTTTCCTTTACTACCCTACCCCCCGCCTCTATTTTTGTTTTTGTTCACCCTCTTTCTCTCTCTTTTTTCCTTCTTTATCCTCGACTGATTCGTACATGTACGCCACTGAGCTCAAGTAATAAATTACCCCCCCCCCCCCCCCCACTCAGAAATATAAATCTCATGAAATCTAAGTCTCCTGTCGCTTCCCACGTGTGTTTCATGAATATTGAGGACTGCAGTTTCTATACATCGGGTGGCCTGGTCAAGATGTGGTCCACTCAAAGCGTGAACGAGTCAATTTAATTTGAATAAATTCCGGGTTGATTGATTGAGCTGTGGACAACGCAGTTGGAAGAGCGCCGCGATTAAAGCCGCCTCTTGTATTAATAATGATATTGGGTATCATGTCAGAACCAGAAGAGCGTTGGTGCATATCCCTTTACACGGGGTTAACTTATGCCCCTTTGGTCCTCAACATACCTGGGAAGACAGGAGAGATCGAACGTTCGGCTTGAAAGGTGTTGGATTCACCCTAATTTGGAAGCAAGGTTAGGAAGTGTGAAAACCCCAGACGTTTGTTTTACCTATGAGAAACACAGATTGCTTGTTGTGTTTGCCATTTTCCCATGCCTGTATATTTATACTTAGGTTTTATTTATTCTTCCGTACAGTGCTCAATGCCTATAGGCAGAGCAAAAATATATTGAATAAGGCAGACTAATGAGACATGGTTGCTATTGGTTTCACGCCTTACAAGCGACCATTAGGCAACTGATTAGCATTCTTAGTACATGGTTACTTTACTACCTGGGTACAAATACGCTGTTGTTGTTGGTTATATAATATATTTATGGCCTTAGGTCAAATTTGACTATTTACGCTTAGTCTAGTTCTTTAAAAAGCAAATACGCTCAAAATAAGACTTTAAAGGTACTTTGTCCCTTTTGCAGCCCACCTCAAATTCTGTAGAACTTTGCAGGAATTATGAACATGTCATGTATGTCCTATCTGTGAAATTTAAACGTTAGCAGTGTCCTGATATTCAAATTATGCAAGGAAACCCGTTTAGATGCTAGACTTCAATGTCAGATACCATTGAGTGACTGACTGGTTTTTTTCTTCTTTGGTAATAACATACATAAAATGAGCTGTAAAGGGTTCATGAGCATTTGTCTACATCAATAACTCACTTCTTGTGATGGCCAAAATTAAACTGATTAAACCTTTGCGCAGCATATAGTATGACCATTCGGTACAATGGTCTGAAAATCAAGACTATTACTTATTGGCTCTATTGCTCCTAAGTCGATTTGACAACTAATGGTCATTATTTTCCCACTTGAAGACATTTTCAAGCCCCACCTTTTTTAGGGTAGTTCTAAATTAGTATTATCTTTCAAATGCTGTTAGAATTTAACCTTTTCATTTTTTAGGCCTGCAAATGGGACATAGTACCTTTAAAGAGTAAGGTTGAGTTCTGGGAAGAGGTGAAAAATAATTTGTGAACTTTATCATTCTTATTATGCAAGTGTGGAAGAACATCAGATAAGACATGTTCCCTGAAAAGCATGGCTCTTCAAAGCCTTCATATTCTAAATATGTCATGTTCATCGTAAAACTCGGGGGGGGGGTAGGTTTTTTACGCCACGTGTTCGTGTAGTCCCATATACATCTTTCTGTGTACAGTGTTTGTAACTTTACCAAGACTTGGCCAAATTTCTTATCATTTTGATGATTCCAGAACCTTGCAATACACACAAATTCTTATATGCTAGATGATCAACCTTTTCTGGTCGATTCCACATCGTTTCTTTCACAATGCAATCGCGTGACCAGAACTCAACTTCATCTTTAAGTAGTACAATAAGAATTACTCAAGGATGAAGGGGCTATTGTAATTGCTCGGGTACTGTGCTGGATTTCTAAACATGTAAAGCCTATGGGAGGGGGTATCACAAAATAGTCTCCGCCAAGGTGCTAGTACATATTGGATTATGTATTTATTTATTTAATTAAGTGTAGTCTCTTTTGAAGTTGCAGAGATAGAATTTGTTTCCATGCCGGCATTCGGAGATGAGTTCTGTTTTTGTTTTGTTCAGGAGTGTCTGTTTCTCGGCGTTTGTGATGGCAAGCTTCTCAGTTAGGCACAGCTAGGTTACATTTCTTCGTTTCACTGGAGTACGCTTGGGCCTTGCTGGAGATCGACTAATCGATGGTGAATGGGTGCATTGCTGTTGCATTCATAATCATTGAATTGAATTTATTAGACCATTATATCCATTTCAAAGCAAAGCGAACATTAAAAAATAGAATACATAAAAGCTTGTAAAATAGGCCCCCACAAAAAATGTAATATAATTCAGTAACATTTTTTAATTATATTTTTTAAAGATATTTTTTTATCATTTTCTATCAAATCAAATACATATTAAACCAATCATTCTTAACAAAGCTGGATACATTGTACATTGATATTTTGGATTAAACATCAATTGAAGCAATAACAAGAAAACAAAAGTACATTTTCATAAACTGTTCAGAAAATATTTTCATACATAATGATCAAAAATGTTAACGTAAACTTGAGAGACTATTTTGACATGCAAAGTTCTACAGGATTTGATGTTGGCTGCAAAAAGGACATAGTATCTTTAAAGAGTGATATACTTGGACTTTGCATTCGTTATATTTCTTAGAAACTTTTTCTGTAAAATCTGATTAATAATATATCATGACAGTGACTTTCTTGGAGGAGGAGGGGAGGAGGAAGCGGAGGAGGAGGAGGAGGAGGAGGAGGAGGAGGAGGAATAGGACGAGGAGTAAGGGGGAGGAGGAATAGGACGAGGAGGAGGAGGAGGTGGGGTTGAGCCCCAACCTTCCGTAGAACATCGAACATCTGCTTCATCCATGTACCTGTTTATATGAGCGCCTTCATCCATTTTTTCCCAACCTCATACCTGATTTTTGTTGTTATAGCATTCTCCACCAAAATTGGCATATCATTCAGCGACTACCCTACCCATCTTCTTCTCCCTCTCTCCCCCTCTCTCTCTCTCCCTCTCTCTCCCCCTCTCTCTCTCTCTCTCTCTATCCCCTCTCTCCCTACCCGTCTCTCCATTTCTCTCCTCCTCTTCCCCTCTCTCCAAGTTCTGAAAAGTGAAATACACCGACCGATAGCCCCGATCCTTTTGCTTCTTCTCTTCATTATTCTGTCAATACATTCGTCAAATCAATTATTCAATCATTTTCAACACCTATCAGAAAGAACGCACCTGTTTTAAAATCCTACTTTAAAAAGATACACAATTTCACAATCTGACAAAACGGCATGCGTTTTGAATGAGTGAAACTGAAAGACAAATACATACTGTACAATGTAGGAGTCTCTTTCTTCATTTTCTTTTGAAACAGCTGTCAATTTATTATGTTATTTAGTTTAAACAATTCATTTTAATGACTTTATCCAATCATTTTATTCTACTACGGTATTTTAAATGTTCGAACTCTCCCTCTCCCGGGCTATTTACTGCCACCCATGTTAAACACACTGTATTTTTAGTATTGTGTAGGTAAGAATGATGCCTACATAAAACGGTATGAAAATTTAACATAAATCATAATATGCATGATGGTAAGATTAATGAATTAAAAATTTTCCCCAATTTGGATATAAAACAGATTGTAAGAGGAATCTGACTAGGAAAAATATATTTTTGGAAAACAAAAAAGTTAAATACGAATGTTTAATCAAATGAACAAAATTCCTTCAATGATTTAGTTGTATACATGGGTAGGTTGAGTACAATAAGAATAAACAATGTCATCCACTATGATCAGTATCCAGGAATACATATTCGTTTTTTCCACTCTATGTTCCTACCCTAAGCTCGTCCTCTTGTACCCTTTATTTCAAAGTTATTTGCAGACAAAGTCTAATAAATATGAAGGGAAAAAAGGTATAAACTATGATTGTAAATAGAATATGCAGCTAAACATGTTATTATGATAATGCAAAAAGTGTTACAGTCGCTCTGAACATACAGGAAGATGAGTCGGAGATTAAATCTCCCTGCTCTGAAACGACATTTTTGTCGACGCTGTAATTCTCTATGTACGGACCAAGACTGGTATGTCCTGCCTGTATCTCCTGATTGTAAAGAAAGCGGCGGCTACAACAAGTGCGAGTAGTCCTAGAACCCCAAAGGCAATACCAACACCCCGTCCCGATGACCCGGAGGTTCTTCCCTTGAGCTGGTCATATTCGCCTGCTTCCACACCAGACATGACTCGCTGTCTTCCGTTCCCGGGGAGAAGTGGACGCATATTCCCGCTGATCTGATTCCCGTTCCTTCCGAAGACAAAGGATAGGACACTGTCGACGTCGTTGATGTCCGCATCCATCTCCATGTCGACGTCGGACACTTCTTCGGAGGAGGAGCCGGGAATCATGTAGCTCAGAGAACTTCCCGCCGTGCTAGGACCACCGATGCTTGGACCAGCGAAGCTTGGACCGGTTCCTTGGTCTACAGGAAAATCGAACATGGTCTGTTTCTGTGGAGGCCCAACAGGATTTAGCTCTGGCTTCGCTTTGATATTGGTAATTGGGTTCTTATGAGCCTCAGCTACGATGCAACATGCTGTAAAATAATTGGAAAAGAACGGATCAGATTATTTTAAAAGTGATTATTTCGTATTTCGTTGGCATAACGTCAGTACAGGTCATCTCGCTGTGTATTCAGGCAAAAAACAAACATTATTATATTCATTCGTACGTTTCGAACCGTATCTATATTATATCTTTTAAAAAATTATTTAGAGCACGGTTTAATTGTTATGTTAGAATATTTTATCTCACCGGCATTATCAATTTTCTTTTAGAGAACCCCTCGACATTGAGCCGATAATCATTCATGCTTACAGAACAGTCTTCGTTCTGTATCAAAGCCTAAAACTCTAATCGTAACACTAATGTGTACATTATCAATCTTCTTCTTCTTCTCGAGTCACTGCACAAGCCCGCTCTGATCTGGGCCCGTCTTACAAAGAGTTGCGATTGATCCAAATCAATAGCAAGTCCTTCAATCAATTGCAAGTCTGCAGTCTCCGATCCCTTATGTACATAGTTGCGATTGATATCGATCGATTGCAATAATAAAAAAAATGCTACAAAACAAAATATATTAAGTCTTTGTAAGATGGGGCCCGGGTCTTGGCGTTGAAACCCTTTTACAGATTAAATACATTTAAGTTTGAATCGATGTTGATTTGCGAAGATATTAATAATAATAATAATGATGATAATACTAATAATAATAACATTATGTCATCAGTAGTCAAACTATTCTCGCTGAGGGCCCTGCAATCATTATCATTAACCCGGCATTAGATAGACGAAGATAGACAAACCTTGGACAAACCTTGGTTTGTAAAAACGCGTCGGAACGCGTCATATGACGCACATAAACCTAGGTTTGTCGACAAACCTCCTTTGTGAATTCGGGCCGAGGGCTTTGCAGCAAGAAGGCAAATGGTTTGCCCTGAAGTAGCCACAGTCTATTTCTCTCATCTATACAATACACTCAGAAGAAAACCTAAAAGAATATTTAAAAGCATGAATAATTTTTTCTTAGTAAGTAGAATTCTTACCTGCTAGAAGGCAGATGAATGTCACTAAAGTTGCCATTGTCAGTTTCTCTAGTCTATAAAGTATATAAATGAAAACTTAGAAGCAAGATAAATAAACAATAGTACTGCTCAGCCTTCTTCTGTTTCTTCTTCAGCTTCCAACTCAGAGTTCGATTATGAAGATCATTTCGGATCCTCTGCTTTTATACATTTTCGTTTGACGATACTTTCACCGCAGAGCCCATTCTAAAAAGTCCTCACCTATCAACTTCAAAAAATGTTGATTCAATTTTCCATAGCATTGAAGTTTGTGATAGAATAAAAGAAGTCTTGGCATAATCTTGTTCATTCAGTCGTATTTTCCAACCTTGACTCTATGCCTCTTGAAAGACAAATTGAGAGTTTAGAGAAGATGGGAGACTGTCAGGAGATAATGATCCTTTGAGCGTTAAAGGGATTGGGTATCTTTGTCTCAGATTCGAAACAACATCCCGGATTTAGCTCATGCTGCTATCATAATTATAAACCTTTAGGTCAGTCAGGAATCCCATGATTTTTACAAGCCGATCGCCTGTCTGATTATCAAGATATTTATGATTGGAAATCGAAATTTCAAAATTCGTTTTCTAACGGTTTTTATAACAATACAGTCTACTGGGGAAAATGAGTATGGTATAACCAGTCACTCAAAGATTTGTCCTTTCTTGAGCCACTCATTTTGAAGCGCATTTTTGTTTAGGGCTCCAATATTTCACCATATCACAGACACTGATAACACGTATAGGGCCATGCATCTCAGGTTTAACATTGTAAAACGATGCCTTAAGGCACTAGCGTAATTAAAGGAGAGGCAGTGGCACTTTCTCCCTCCTGACCAAGAAACATAATGCAGGCACTATATTATTTGCAGATTATAGACCGTTAATCAGATTTTGAATCATAAAGATAACTTATTTACGATTTGACAAACTAAATGCGTGATTCCACGTGCATGCAGTCCAGGGTGAACTTTTTAGCGACTATGTCTTACACTCAATGAGAAGAGAAGAGAAGAAGAAGAAGAAGAAGAGGAAGAAGAAGAAGAAGAGGAAGAAGAAGAAGAAGAGGAAGAAGAAGAAGAAAAGAAGAAGAAGAAGAAGAAGAAGAAGAAGAAGAAGAAGAAGAAGTAGGAGAAGAAGAGAAGAAGTATTTCGGACATTAGCAATATCTACAGCTTTTCCTCAACACTATATATTGCCTTTAAGGGCAATGTTTGATGGTGACTGCACGTGTTTGATTCTTACTCTTGAATCAACTCGGTGAACGTAGATCCGTGTAGACATGTGAATTGGGGAATCTCAACGACGATTTCACTAACACTGTCTTCCATATTTTCGAGCCAAGAAAATATACCCCAATCATTAAGGAATGTCTGAACTAGCTGTCAACCTGCCGTATGTGATCACATCAATTCTTCTGTTAATGCCAGGAATACGGAAAGACAAAGGAGCGAACGGAGTTCAAGAGCTTTGAAGTTCGTCGAGCCAGGACATCGTACAGTTGGCTAGAGCGGAATTGATGGATCTTTGCCATGGATACTCTCCTGAGTATTGAACCAAATATCGTGGGTTCGAGTCGTGGATGACTAGTGCCTTTTAGAAGCACTGTGCACTGATAAGGCTGCTGGAGCTAAAGCTAGGGTAATCATTTCTGAAGCTCTTTGGAAGCGCATAGAAATGTTATTTCATATGCGCTCTACAAGAACTGAACTATTATTATTATTCATGTGATTTTCTTTTCTTCCTTTGTTTTGAGGGGGTGGCGTAATACATCCTTGGAATTCAGTGGTGTATGTCCGGGGACAAGGGGGGGGGGGCATGCCCCCGAGTCAGTCGAGGATAAAGAACAAAAGAGAGAAAGATTGATGAAAAGGGGGAGGGGGTAATCAAGGCAACGAATAACGATAAAGACGCTCGCTATGGCATTGTGCTCTCGCTTTTTACACTCCTAATTTTTTCAATTTCCATTATTCCACCACCCCTCCCCCTCCCCCCTCCTGAATGACTGGTAACTCGCTACGCCATTGCTTGAACTAATGCATTGACGACGAATGGAAATTAGGTGTTCTTCCCCAAGGTTCACTTGCATAAAAGACAAACCAGGCGTAGGAACAACATACATGACTTGTACACTCTGATTTTAGGTCAATTAGCAATTTTCCCGGGGCATTTGGTTTCACATTAGGGTAACTTTGCATTTTCTCGCCGTAATGAACGCCTGTCCATGAAATGTATATCGCCAGCGTTTCTCCGCTGTGATAATATGTTTATTAGGTGAATGCTGTTCTTCACCTATCCAAACCTCAATTTCTAGTCTTGTTCGCCATTTCATCTTATTTTCTCCAAGTTTTATCATATACCATTCGTTTTTATTGATTCATTTATTTCTAATTGAACAGTTTCTCTCTCTATATATATATATATCTATCTATCTCTCTCCCGATCTCTCCAACCCCTCAAATCCTCAAGATCAACCTTTACACTTTGCACTTCTTTTTCTTTCTATCTTTCTTTCAGCCAACGAGGGAAGACGTGTCCTCAAATTTTCATATATACCAACAGAAGTTCAAAAATTAAATAGATAATAAACACGGCTAGTACTTTCACAAAACATAAGACATATTTTATTTATAGGCACCTTTATCACACTTAGCATCTCATTTATATGTTAAAGATACTATGTCCCTTTTGCAAACAACATCAAATTCTGTAGAACTTTGCAGGAATTATGAATATGTCATGTATGTCCTATCTGTGAAATTTAAAAATTAGCAGTGTCCTAATATTCAAATAATGCAAGGAAACCCGTTTGCTTGCTAGACTTCACTGTCAGACACTATTGAGCTCTTTGGTAATAACATACATAAAATGAGCTGTGAAGGGTACATGAGCATTATTTTGTCTACATCAATAACCCACTTCTTGTAATGGCCAAAATAAAACTGATTGAATCTTTGCGCAGACTGTTACTTACTGGCTCTATAGCTCATAAGTCAATTCGACAACTAATAGTCGTTATTTTCCTACTTAAGGACATTTTCAAGCCCCTCCCTCTTTTTTAGGGAAGTTCTAAATTAGTATAATCTTTCAAATGCCGTTGGAATTAAACCTTTTAATTTGTTTTTGGCCTGCTAATGGGACATAGTACCTTTAAGGGTAATAATGAAATGAGTGAAAGAATTGATATTTTACTATAACTAAAATGAATTGCTACAAAAAGCAGAAAGAAGTGGAAGTATATGTAGTTGTTTAAATTGTTTAAATTCATTAAAGACAGATGAGCACACAAAAAACGCTGTACTTGGTTATTTCGACCCGTGCACTAAATAGAAATGAATACAACCAAATACCTGAAGCTTGAAAGAACTTTAAAATGATTATTGGTACACAATTTCTATTTATGACACAGTAGATTCTTCCGACCTTGTGACATCTACATCAATGTGAACCGTTCCCGGTAGTTCCGGGTCATTTTGGCACGCTTCTCTGGAACATGTCTCTTTGTTTTTAACGTCGTCACCACCCACTGATGGGACGTTATGTATGTTCTCCCGATGGTGAGTCCTTTTACAGCCCATCTCATCACAGTGATAGGTGGTGAGGTTAATGGTTGGTAGAGCTGTAGGACTAGACGAAGATTGACGCCCACGGGGACCTGTATTCACGTTGTAAACCGCGGTGGCCGAACGAGAGAAACAAGCACACGACGTTAACGCCTGACATGCGTTGCGAAGAAGACGTCCGCAGCTCCTGCGGAACTGCACATTGAAGAACCAGAAGAGCACTGGGTTGATGGCGCTGTTCAAGTACGTGAGGGCAACCATGGTGAGCCGAGTGATCGGCGGAAGAATCAAGTTCGGTTTGTAGATCTCGAGGAGAATACCAATCACCATTGGGAATGTGCATATACTGAAGACGGTGAGAAGAATGACGAGTTTAATGATGACCTTGAGTTCCTTACGGTATTTTATGATATTATTTTCACCAACGGCGGGTTCGCCAATTGGATCAACGCGTCGCACTCTCTGCAGAAGGATCACGATGATGTGGAAATATATGAACCCCATAAAAAGCACCGGTACGCACTCGTGCCCGTAGAATACAAACTCGAGGTAAAATTTCGGGAAGAGGGCTGTGAAGTTAAAACAAGACTTTCCCTCTTCAAACCCACCCGGTGAGTTCATGAATAGGAGAAGGGGTACAGCCGCGGTGGTGAATGATGCGACCCACACCATCATGATAGATACCTGAGCGAAGAGTTCGGTGATCCGCCATTTCATTTTGTTACCCACGATATGAAGATAGCGATCGACGGCCACGCCCATCAGACTCCAAACGCTCGCGACGCATTGTCCAATCAGGATGCTGTACGTGATAAGACAAGGCCAGAAGGGCGTGGTCCATATTGTAATGGTAATACTGAGAATCATTCCCACGCCCAGAAGGAAATCGGCGGCTGCTAGACTGATGAGGAATGACGTCATAACGCTCCGAAGCTGTCGTGACCCGCACACGGTCACCAAGACTAGTCCGTTTGCTGAAATGGTCCATATGCATATAAGGACCTGGACCAGGACCGCGATGATAGAGGAAGTTTCGAACCCATCCTCGTTTCCAATTAGGGGTGGTAAAGTTGTTGTTCGAAGACTCATCATGGTGTGCGACAGACGCGAATCTCCCATGCTGATTTCGATAGACTTTGCCACCGATTCAGATTAAATCCATTTGATCAAACTTGATGATAATCATAAAAACGCACACACGATAACAATCAACAAGGGGTGGTTGAACATAAATGAGGTAGCTGAAATGATAGCGATCACAACTCTCCACTTTTGCAACAAACATGTTTAATCCAACAATACTTTTCCATCAAGGAATACACCCTCGGCCTGCTAAATATTTCAGTGCGCATCATTTGTCTCTAGGCAATAGTGTCTCGTGCCCACCAAATACAAGTGGGTGGACTTCAAAGAATGAACCAACCTTTGATAGACGAAATTGGTAAAACACCGTGACAAATCTTATGACATATGCTGCTCAGGAGTTACGAGAGGTACCAGTTCCGGTCCATTTGCTGCTCAAGAGCACATACAATGTACCAGTATGATCCCATCTTCCATTCAAAAGCGCGCAAAGTTGACGTACACGAGACGCATTTTAATCATGTTAATTTCCATCACAGTCATCTCCGCAGCAACCTCTATCTTGATTAATTCCCTTGATATCAATTATGAAGGTAAATTAAGAGGCGTGTTTGTAATGTCCCTCGTAGGTTATGACGTAGATTATCACTTCCATCTACACCCTGTTGTCGTAAACAAGTTGCTTGTTCATACGGCAACAGTTGAACGTTTTCCTGTAAAAATGAGAGAAAGAAAAAGAAAATGTTATCGTGATTATGATAAATCTATTAAAATATGAACATTTCAAAATAATATTGAATAAAATAGTTTAAGACAACTCTATATTGATTTCTATAATAGTGCAGGTGTTGTGGTATAGTGGGTCATTTACTTAACTCTATCACAGGGTTGAGGGTTCGAATCCCAACCTGACATTAACGTCGCTTGGCAAAATATTGATCCACATTTCCCTCTTTACCTCCGCTATTGTTGTTGAAATAATAACTGCAGGGCCCGCAGAAAGAGCAGTATTTATATTGATTTAGCTACCCTAGCTGAATAACACTCAATAAGTAATATTATCAGCAGTTACAGTAGTAGAAGTAGTAGTATTAGTGGTAGCACAAAGTATTAGTAGTAGCAGCAGCAGAAGTAGTAGTATAGTAGTAGTAGTAGTAGAAGTAGCAGCAGAATAGTATAGTAGTAATAGTAGTAGCAGCAGCAGAAGTAGTAGTAGAAGTATTAGTAGCAGTAGTAGTAGTAGTAGCAGAAGTATTAGTAGCAGTAGTAGTAGTAGTAGTAGTAGTAGTAGTAATAGTAGTAGTAGTAGTAGTAGTAGTAGTAGTAGTAGTAGTAGTAGTAGTAGTAATGGTGGTGGTAGTAGTAGTAGTCTGTAGGAGCAGTGCTATTGCATGATTAAACATTTCCGACGAAGAAGTAATAATAATCCTCTTTCGGATGGGGAAAAAGTTCTACAAAGGCATGTAACTAACTTTATTCACATTGATAACAGCGTGTACATAGTCAGTCTGCAGAGCTGTGAACTGAAGAAAACAAAAACAAATGTGTATAACACATGGAAAGGTATACGTATTGTTAATTATGCAGTGCAGCTTTTGAGTAGTTTATATCTATCAAATTAGTGAATAAATCTAACATATTTCATTGGAGCGGAGGGTGTGCTCCCGAGTAATATACTCGCCGTCTTTGAATATGTTGAATACAACTCGATCCGTTGTTTATCTTGTTTATATTTTCTACTTTGTATTCATTTATACATCATGCATTGTAAATGCTTTATTTTGATTGATTCACTGTATACTTGAATGATGTACATGTTAATTCTTTTTATCGAGTGAAACAAATAAATTTAAATTTGAAGTGTGATCCCCCCCCCCCCCCCACCCCCTCACGGCGAATAATCAGAGACAATTTACCCAAGACAGCTTACCGTGTAAAAATAAATAGTATTATTAGTATCATTTGATTTTAATTCCAATTCAAAGGAAAAATCATACTAATCATACAAATGATGAAAAAATTAATATATAAAGATAAATATATAAAGTAGGGAGATGGGAATAATACAATACAATACATAATTTAGGTGAAAACAATATATATTATAAATAAACAGTACAAACTTAGAAATTACTAAATGAGAAGGTAAACTGTACATGTTGTTAAAATTTAATAATAGAACGGAATCGAGGAATACTGCAAGAATATTTAAATATTTTTGTAAATAGAAAATATTCATATCTGATATTAGAAAAAAAGTGCCAGGTTAGATTATAGTAGTTTATGTATTATGTAGCTCATTAAAAATAAATTTATTCTAAGACAACATCATCGGGGAAATTAATTCAGGGAGTAGTTGTCCGGGAATTTCCTAAGGGATTATTACGCTATTACAGAGGATAATGGTCTTGGGGTAGCTTATTCGACAATTTTTGAGGGGGAAGTTGCCTTGGGTGTTTTTGTTAGAGAGCAGCTGTCACAAGATTAATTTCATTTTCTTTCCGACACGTTGAAAAATAGGATAAAACCTATGTACTTCCACAACCACAGAAAAATATAATCATTCCTCTAAAAGAAAAGTTTATTCCTAATTCTTGTATTAAGCAGATTCCAGTACAATTGCTGAAAGAAAAAGCTAATGAATCCTTTTATTGTTCCTTGCTTAATTTTTACAATAAAGAATCTGTTATAGAAGAAGAAAATACAAATGACGCATTTGGAGATGGTACAGTGCCCTTACGTTTTCTTTTGTGTTTCTTGTCTTCTTTAGAATACAAACCGTTTTTCTTTCACAGGGAGAAATTAATTTTAGTACAACGTATACCTACAAGAATATCAACAGCCATTTTTTCTTCCGAAATCAATAAAGGTATTCAACTGTTTCCTGACTTTTTAAAATTGAAACCTACTTTGGAAATTAAGCTGTATTTTTGTTTTAAATCGATAATGCCGTATTCATTTTTTAATCAATAGCCAGGAAATCAAACTGAATACGTGTATATATAATCAATGAAATAAACATTATCCATATGACAAACTTCGTCATGTCATAACGCACAGTCGACTACTGATGTTAGGTTTTAGGAATCAGAAAATGGAGTTCTGTTATAAAGAACCCTCCTTTTTGCAAAGATCTTCTCTATCGCCGCTCATGCCTCTTACATTCGGAATACAAACAAGAAATAGCTAACAAGTTTTAAAGGTAAAGACCAGTATTGGAAACGCCCCAGTTTCAAAAAATGAAATGGAAGCTCTCATTACCAATCATGTGAAAGAATATGTTTTGAATAATACATGATGATAACAAATTTGCCGGGAAACCGCCTACTAATTCATATATTTGGTAAATTTGTTTCTCTCATGGTCTGTGAGAGATATAGGGTAGTCCCATATACATCTTTCTGTGTATAGTGCTTGTAACTTTACGAAGAATGGGCCAAATTTCTTATCATTTTCATGATTCCAGAACCTTGCAGATGCTAGATGCTAGATGATCAACCTTTTCTGATCGATTCCACAACGTTTCTTTCACAATGCAATCGCATGACCATAACTGGTCTTTACCTTTAACCAAATATTCATGTCACTTCCATGTGTGTGCGTGCGTGTGTGTGTATCTGTTCCTGTGTGTGACTCAATGTGACTTTCAACAAAATTCTATCAATTTCATATTAATGATTCTGAAACCTCATAGTGTACACCAATTCTTATGTGCTGAATAATCAACCTTCCCATTTACTGCTAAACAAGGTATTTCCCAACTAAAACGCATGACCCAAACTATATCTTTCATGTGTAATTAACGTATGCAAACGACAGAGAAAAGCAGCCTCATAGCGACAGCGAATGGGTGTTTGAACTAGTTGTGGAAGCAGAGCAAAGCAGAATGCATTAAAGCGTTCGATACTCCCGTTTCGCCTTAATATTGTGGTCATTAAATTGCTTTCTTGGAGATGATGCCTCTAGCGCGCGAGAGAAACGTTTTACGAGCATCCATCCCATTAACCGTGTTTCTCTAGAAGCTGACGCCATATAATAATTGATATTACAACGATCCAAACACATAATTTAGGCCTTCACAATAACGAGGGTGGACATGCACTCTAAATGGCACGTTTTGGTGATGTCTGTATCGTATCATCATCGCTATCCTCATTAGCGGAGAGTGGTTGATTATCTTGAAGAAAGTGGTAATAGAAAAGAGGTATGATTATGCAGGGTGAACTCAGTTAAGTGGCGAAGAGCTAGCATTTTTTGTTTATGTAGCCATGAACGTGATGGCACTGGATAGCCTATTTAAAACTCTAGTTTATGTTTCTATTTAAGTGGCACCGCATGATTTTACAATATTATTTCGTGAAACCCAACAAAAGAAGTGTTCAATTCAATTTATTCTCAATCATACGGTAGAAGTTTCAAATCCCTGTCACTGACACTTAAAGGGGTATACTCTTGTGAGTTGGATCAATCCTTCGAAAATAAAATGTTTTTAAAACAAATTCTCAATCGTTATTCCAGCTGGCTATCTCGACAATGTTGCTTCAGGATTATGAATATTTTCACTTGCGAGAAGAAGAAAATCACCCGAAGGTGATTACAGCTTTCAAAAATTCATAACTTTCTTATTTTCATCCAACTTTGTTCAAACTTATAGCATGCATAGTTTGCTTTTCTGATTTTTTGTTCCCTTTCAGATTTGTTTGCTATTAAGGTTAAATTTTCTTAATATCAGTGATGTACATCACTCTCCCAAATGAAATTATGGCGTTAGCACGCATCATTATGATTGCCGTTGTCATGGGAACAGCGGTTTACTTACTTCTTGGAAGACATTGTGAAATTGTTTTCTGTCTTATAAAGATTACATTTAAAGTGAAGGGAGTGAGCCGAAAGAAATTTGCAGCGTAATACCAACAACATGAAATGGCGCTAGAGAATGAAGGTACAGGGACAAGGATATTTATTTTCTTGTTTTTTAAAGAGGATTATCAATTTTAATGGTCATTTTAGATATTTACTCTGATGAGTATAAGACAAAAAGCTTTAGTTGGTATTTTCAGAATACATCTTTATTCATATTGATCGAGCTATTCATCCCTATGTATATA